AGATACAAGCCCTATCTCCAAAATCAGACTGGCAGTGGGTGGGTGGAAGGGAGAGACGGTGGCAGAATAAATGGTCCACCTAATGGCAGCTTCCTCTGTGCCAGAGACCTAGAGATCTGGCTATCCTAAACACCTGAAGCCGCCTTTCTCTGGCCACACCTGCAGTAGCTCGCCCAGCAGGAGTGAAAGTGGCCTGGCACACACACCCGGCCCTCCAGCGTCCCAGCAGCCCCTGGTCCTGGCCGGCAGCCACCAGAGAAGGTGGCCGCTGAGGAGGACCCGTCCTGTCTGACCTCTAGACGCGGAGAAAGGCACCCGAGGCAGAGAGAGGGTTCCGGGTGGCCCTGGCACTGGGCAACAGATACCCCAAATCTCTTGCTGGGCACTGTGGAGGAGACTTTCTTCTGCCCTGGAGGATTCCAGACAGTTTTTAAAGCAGGGATAGGATCCATCTGTTTGACATTTCGGGGATCCAAGCGGAAATTTGTGGGGGGCACAAGAAGGGGAGTTGCACTGGCATTGCTGGAGGAGAAGAATGGAAGCCAAGCTTTGCCTTGTAATGCCAAACTCTTACAAAGTTACTTTGTTCCTGGAGAAATTCTGGCCTCCTCCATTCAAGGCCTGGAGGAGAGCAAAGAAAGTTTCCAAGGCGAAAGGAAACAAGAGACGCAGAAGGGAAAATGCGTCAAGGGAGTGCAGTGCCCAAACCTTGGGCCCGGCGGGCAGAAATCTGGGCCAGAGGAGGCATCGAGGGGGCAAATCTGCCTCCCTAGAGCCAGATGGCAACCGGATTTTCCCGTTATGTGCCGGGGAGCCGAGCAGGAAGGCAGTTCTCCCAGCCTGGTGGTTCAGAGGTGCCAGCACCCACCTAGCCTAGCCAGGCCGTTGTGCCCCTGGTAGAGCTTGGAGGAGGGCGAGCGGGAGGGAGGGTACTCACCGTGGGACAAGCAAGGAGCTGGAGCGGACGAGGTGGGAAATGGAGGCAACAGGCTTTCTCCAAGTGCAACTGCCGGGAGGCTGGCAAGCAGCCAAGGCACAAAACAGCTGCCAAAGACTCTTATTATAGAACAGACCCCGGCGCAGGCAGATGGAGGGATGTACCAGGCCACTGGCTGGCTGGCTGGCCGGCCCCTTCCCCTCTGCAGCCCCCTGGCTCCAGGAGAGGAGGAGGACAACAAGGGGGGCTCCTCATCTGCAGACACCCCCCCCCAGTATAGAGAATTTGCAAGGGCGGCCAGTTAGGAGGAGCAAGGACAGAAGAAAGCAGAACTTGGACAGCGGCCAGAGGCCGGACAGTCACCCCCCACCCCTTCCTGTACGCAAACACAGCTGCACACTCCAAGCTAAGAGTCCTTTGCAGCATTTGGAGAAGGAGGGGAAGAGCTGGAGAGAGGTTTCCCCCCCCCCCAGGCTCCATTTCCAAGAGCTGCACTCCCCCTGCTGCTGCCTTGGGACGTCACCGTTTTTTAACTGCGTCGTGAAATTAAAAAATTAAGGTCTTCTATAAAAGATAAATGTTCATAACTGCATCTATAAACCACATGTCTGAAACCCCACAGGAAAAGTCCTGAAACCATTTTTGTCCCTCCCAAATATTTCTCTGCAAGGCCGAAGGAAAATGGAAAAGCCTCCCCATTGTCTTTTCCTTCACAAATTCTGTCTTAAGGGTATGTCTGTGTATGAATAGGGTGAGCCTGTGACCTGGCTCAGGAACTAAGTATTTTTCATTACAAAAGATTGGCCAGGCTCCCCAGGGTATCCAATCAAGTGAGCATTAACAGGTAACCTGTCAGACAGGAGATAAACAACCCACTCAGATTTCTGCTGTAGACCACCTTTTCTGTGATATAGGTATGATGTTTGTGGAGGGTGGTCTTGGGTTACACCCCTTCTGTGATGTATGTATGATGTATGGAGGGGTGGTCTGGAGCTCCAGGGCGGGCAATTTAAAATGTCTATATAAAGGCACACCTTTGTTCTGGGTCCTCCTCCTTCTCCTGCGTGAGAGGGGAGTATCCTGTTGCAACAGATCAATAAAGATCAGGCTTACTAGCTGCTTTGCTTCTCTATATTCTCTGGTTGGCCTCTGTCATTTTCTCCGACCGATGGAGAACCTGCAAAGGACTCTATAAGGGCTCTTGTGTCCCCCATAAGGGAATAAGGGCAGATTTTTGTTTATTACAATCAAATCAATAATTGTTCCAAGGGCTTTATTTATTTGAGACTATCAGAAGAAGCAGGCTGCTGCATCACACCTGCTTTCATTTGTCATTATGATTTGTGTGATTTGTACACCAGTGTGGTGTAGTGGTTAAGAGGGGTAGTCTCGTAATCTGGGGAACCAGGTTCGCTTCTCCGCTCCTCCCCATGCAGCTGCTGGGTGACCTTGGGCCAGTCACACTTCTCTGAAGTCTCTCAGCCCCACTCACCTCACAGAGTGTTGGTTGTGGGGGAGGAAGGGAAAGGAGAATGTTAGCCGCTTTGAGACTCCTTAAAGGGAGTGAAAGGCGGGATATCAAATCCAAACTACTACTACTACTACTACTACTATTCTTCTTCTTCTTCTTCTTCTTCTTCTTCTTCTTCTTCTTCTTCTTCTTCTTCTTCTTCTTCTTCTTCTTCTTCTTGTGTTTTCGTGTTGTAAGCTGCCCTGTGATCCTCGGATGAAGGGCAGTATAAAAAATTCAATAAAATAAATAGATAAATGAACAAGTCACTGGGTGACCCCACTGGGTTTTAGTATTGCGGTAGAGGGAGTATCAACAAGAACAACAACAACTCAGCAGTGATGGAGCCAGATGGGGCCAGATGGGGCCACCACCAAGAAAGCCTTGTTCCCAGTACCTGGTTCGATTCCTGGCAAGTCCAGGTAGAGCTGGAAAAGAAGAACTCTTTTGTCAGGCTTTTTCTCAACCTTGTGTCCCCAGACATTGTTGAACTACAAATCCCATCATCCCTGACTACTGGTCCTGCTAGCTAGGGGTGATGGGAGTTGGTAGTCTAACAACATCTGGTGACCAAAGATTGAGAACGGCTGGACTGGAAGGTAAACAAAAGAAGGGATTCAGGAAATGGAAAGGGGGAAATGTTCAAGTCATGCATTTAACCCATTGGGACTGGTAGGACGGAAAGCAAGGAGGTCAACAGTAGGTGGCGCCAGAGGCAATACAGGCAGGTCCAACTAATTCTGGTCCTTCTCCCTGCTGAGTCTTACAAGGGCAACACGGAGATGGAGGAGGAGGAATATGACGGGCAGTGCCACCCTTGGGTCTGGTGGTTGTAAGTGAGAAGGCGGGCTGGCGATCGCTGCTGAATGACAGATTTGAGCCTGGTGGGTCACTGCCCCATTTGCCCAAAGAGAGCAAATCTAGTTTGCCCCTCACAATTCCTAGCAGCCCTTAACAAACTCCAGTGCCCCTAATTCTTTGAATTCTGCATCCTATGTGCTTTAAAGGTACAGGAGCTTCCAGATGGCCTGTTTACTGAGCATTCATCTGGATTTGTTTTTCAGGGGGATTACACAGGATTGGCGATTTAATATGCCTTCGCTTGGATTTTTTTGCATTCAGATGACGTAGCGGTGGTCTAATGACCATCCGCTTGGAATTGTTTGTGGGGAGGCTAGACAGCGGTGCATCAAAACCAGTGTTGTCAGACATTTTCCAGCTAACTTCCCTGTCACCTGTTGCAAAAACAATCCCGGCCTGTTCTGCTCACCCCCAAGAGAAGAGAGTTAAGAACATAAGAAGAACCTTCTGGAACAAGTCAGTGGCCCATTTGGTCCAGAATCCTGTTTTCACGGTGGCCAACCAGATGCCCATTATGGGAAACCCACACGAAGAATTCGAACACAAGACTCCTCTCCCCTCCTGCAGTTTCCAGTAACTGGGATTCAGAAGCCTTGCTGCATCAGACTTCTCAAAAGACTTCTCCACGAATTTGTCCAATTCTTTTTTAAAGCTGTAATAAATGTAAATCTGCCCTGATTCCCTTATGGGGGGACACAAGAGCCCTATACGGACCTTTGTTGGCAAGGTGATGTCTCTGCTTTTTAAGATGCTGTCTAGGTTTGTCATTGCTTTTCTCCCAAGAAGCAGGCGTCTTCTAATGTCGTGACTGCTGTCACCATCTGCAGTGATCATGGAGCCCAAGAAAGTAAAATCTCTCACTGCCTCCATTTCTTCCCACCCCAAATCTGTAACAATATGATGCATCCTGGGCAGGGATATGGTAAGGCTCTATCAGAGGGACAAGATGGACCAGCATGGCTTCTCCCCTGGTTCTGCTGAGAGACCAGCTCTGCCAAGGCTCTCCTTCCATCACCTGCAGCGGAGAAAGTGAAATACAACAGGGCCACTCCATCTGCTCAGCTTGGACACCAAGACAATTTCATCCCTCCTCTGTTTTCCATTCCAGCTGGTGTTTTACAAGAACTTTGTCACAAGGAACCAGTTTGCATTTTTCCTACTTCCTCCCAGGCCCTTTTCCTTTTGTGCCATGTCTCTGTCAGGAGTTCAGCCTACACTCGAGTAGGACCCTGGCAGAGACACATGCTCGACTGGCATGTTCTCTCCCTCCTGGTCGATCGTTCGGGAGCTTCAAAAGCTTTTCTTCTGCCCGAACATCACAGCGACCGATGCCAACCGACACCGGCACACTTAGGGATTCGCAGAGTTTGCGCATCATGCAAAACCCTAGCAACTCAGCATTTTGGCTAATCTACTTTATTTACATATAAACCCACACAGAGCACTGCAACACGGGAAGAAACACCAAGGTGCACCTATTTCAGCAAAACCGGACTTCTTCATCTGCCCCACCTGCAGTAAACCCCATCTCTCCCATATCAGTTTCTACAGCCACAGCAGGCGCTGTGACTCTCCCGCAGTTTGACGTTTCCCCCAAAGAAGCACTCTCCCATTGCCTCCCAAGACAGTCAGATGCCAACAACGAGTTCTAATGTTGTTTTATTTCTGGTGGCTTGAGGAAGGGGCCAGAGAAATCTTCTTTATTTCTTTATTAGCGTTTCGAAACCACTTGGCATTTAAAAACATCTAAGCCAGATACAAAAGCAACATGCAAAAACCAAAAACAGCATCATAAAAGCAGGTACACAACATGGAAACCAGTAAAAGCAGTCTTATAAAAACAAGCTTTAAAAAGGAACTTGGTATTAACAGGGCAAAGGTTAAGGGCATTCACGGCACAGGAGCAGTGGTGGAAAATGCCAATTTGTCAGGCTACCCCACACTGTGATATTCTGTAGGGCGTGGTGCCACCAGTAGAATTTCCCCAGTGGTTTCCAAAAAGTGTTGTGGGATTACTGGAGATGGGTGCTAAGAGGGAAGGGGGCAGGTGGAGGTGAGTGGCTTCCATTTCCTAGCAAGAGATGAGCTAGCCAAGGGGAACCTCTCCTGCCTTGGTAAGATCAATCTGTTATGCTGTGCCAAAGCCGGTTCTACTGTTAGGCAGTGTGAGGCAACTGCCTTAGGCAGCAGCTGCTGAAGGATGACAATTGTGGGATAACCAGTCTCAGGCATCCAACATGAAGGGGTTAATACCATAGAGTAAGCTGTCCAGCCAGGCTTAGCTAAGTCCTCTCTCCCTCACCTTGGGAGGAACTAGGAAATCAAGCCTCTGTTCACCCCCAGACTGCATGTGAACTTTGGAGTGTCAGGAGCTCTGAGCTGCTCCTTCCAACCACATGGCTTTAACAAGCCTCTCTTGAGTTCCTATAATACCAATAATCTAGGAACTTTTACCACTTTCCAACTAAGCTAAGTTTCACTGCCTGTGCAAATTTGCTAAAGCCCATGAACCCGACCTTTGAAAAGTTTGTAAGTAAACCAATGTTTAACTGACGAAATGTGTGCTCTTTTACCTATGCTAGGGGAAAAGGGAAACTTTTTAACTGTTAAAAGGGACATTTTTTGGAACTCACTTGAAAGGTCTAACAGCCTTGTTTTTGTGGCTTTAAACTCTGCTCGGGTTCTTGCCCCAAATTTGGATCTTGGCATCTAGGAATTCTCCCATTATATATATTAAGAAATTAAGAAAGTCTAGGATTTTGATTATTTGGGGTATTGAAGGGAAGATTACAGGCCAGTGGAAAAATACAAGCTAAGCTTCCTTTCCAAGCCACGGCCTCACCTGGGACAGAGGCATTAACAGGACAAAGGGTGGTCTTTGACCATAATAAATTATGATGATGGTGGACAAAGGGTGTTGATCTTGGGCCTGGAGAGACAGAAGGTTGCCAGGATAACTGGCTGTGAAGTGTCAGGAAAAGAGAGTCTTTAGAGCAAGGTGTGCTGGGAAGAAGAGAGAGAGAAAGAAGAGATCCATCTTGGGCAGGCTGGCTGAAGGCTGTCTGGGAAAGATGCTTTTGACTCAAGTGTTGCAATGCCGTTGGGGACAAACCCCTCTTGAAATGTCCATGCTGCTGTAAGATCTGGACTCCCTCCAGGCAGACTGAATGTGTCCATATGTGAATAAACCATATTTCTTAAAGCTATGGCAGTCTCCGTCGTGTCTTCAATTCTCCAAAGGAGCACAGACCCCGGGCGAGTGCCTGGAACGCCCTGGGATCTTGCTATCGCTCAGCAGAGGGTGGGGTTGGTACCCAGCTTCTATAACAATATTTTTCTTTTGCACCAAGAGGTGGAGGACAGGGCTGTGCATGAAACGGGCTCTGTTCTGCATTTCCTTAAGCTATTCTGCTCTGCTCAGGTGGGGCAGAAGGTAGCATCCCAGTATCTGAAGGAAGATGCAACTTTCAGTCCTGCTGGCTTTTAGACGTGGAACTGGAGGGGGAGGTCATCTTGTCCTCTGGCTTCAGGCAGCAAAATGTTTTCGGCTGGCTCTGCACTGTCCAATCTCTGCCCAAACCTGACTTCCCCAGGAAAGGCCCAATGTCCCCACATTGTCCTTGATCACTGCCTCAAATGACTCCTGAGCGTGCAAGGTGAGCATCTTGGGAAAAACCCTGAGGCAGGAACAGGGGGCAGCTGACTTTCTTCTTCCTTCTGGGTGCCCCTCATGGCTATACAGCAGCCTGGGGCTCGTGGACCAGGTCAGTGGCGATGAACATGTGTCCCTGCAGAGGGTGGAAAAACCAATAATGCTAATGCTAATGCTAATAATAATAATAATAATAATATTTATTTATACCCCGCCCTCCCCGGCCAGAGCCGGGCTCAGGGCGGCTAACATCAATAAAATTTCAGTAAAACATAATAAGGAAAAAAAAGAAAAATGAAAAAAAAACACTATTTAAAATACAGTGGTACCTCGGGTTTCATACGCTTCAGGTTACAGACTCCGCTAACCCAGAAATAGTATCTTGGGTTAAGAACTTTGCTTCAGGATGAGAAAAGAAATTGTGCTCCAGCGGCACAGTGGCAGCAGGAGGTATTACTGTACAGTGGTACCCAAGTCTTTCTGCAAACTTCCATAAATAAAGCATTATATATACAGTCGTACCTTGTTTTGCGGCCAGGATCCGTTCCGGAGCCCTGGCCCCTAGCCAAAAAGGACACAGGGCAAAGCGCCATGTCTACCCATGCGCTCAGAGCGGTTTGTGCTTCTGCACATGTGCGAAGCATGATTTAGTGCTTCTGTGCATGTGTGAAGTGCAATTTAGTGCGTCTGCGCATGCGCAAGCGGCAAACTTGGAAGTAACCCATTCCAGTACTTCTGGGTTTGCCGCAGACGTTTGCTGGAATGGACGCTAGACAAGGTGGACGTTCGTGTAGGTATTACTGTATGCCACCTTTGGGCATTTATATTCCACTTTTTATGCAAGGAGGTCAAGGTGCCATTCATGGTTCTCTCCCCCCCCCCACCTCATTTAATCCCCACAACAAACCTGTGAGGTAGGGTAGACTGAGAGGCAGTGACCGGCCCAAGGTCATCCCCAGTGAGAGCTTCATAGCTGTGTGGGGATTTGAACCCTGCTCTCTCAGGGTCACGGGTGGCGCTGTGGGTTAAACCACAGAGCCTAGGGCTTGCCGATCAGAAGGTTGGCAGTTCGAATCCCTGTGACGGGGTGAGCTCCTGTTGCTCGGTCCCTGCTCCTGCCAACCTAGCAGTTCGAAAGCACACCAGTGCAAGTAGATAAATAGGTACCGCTCTGGCGGGAAGGTAAATGGCATTTCCGTGCGCTTAGTCCTGCTGGCCACATGACCCGGAAGCTGTATGCCGGCTCCCTCGGCCAATAAAGCGAGATGAGCGCTGCAACCCCAGAGTCGGCCACGACTGGACCTAATGGTCAGGGGTCCCTTTACCTTTACCTCTCAGGTCTTAGTCCAACACTCTAACCACTGCGCCACACTGCCTCAGTTTATTCCAAAGAGCGCAATACTTCGGCAAGGGCTGTATCCTTACCCATTGTTTGTGAGGGCTGTGTGGATTCACCTTTTCAGGGAAGAAAGACATTTGCAAAATTCTCTGTTCCAGCTTTCCTCAACCAGTACAGCCATCCAGATGTTTGGGCTGAAACTCCCACCAGCCCCAGTGAGCACAGCTGAAGCTACTGGGAGTTGTAGTTGGAGAAAACTACTCTATTCCTTTATCACTTTCGCTACCAACTCTTCCTAAAAGGCCCTCAGGCGTCCTCAAAGTGCATCTCAAATAATAATAATAATAATAATAATAATAATAATAATAATAATAATAATAATTTATTTATACCCCGCACATCTGCCTGGGTTTCCCAAGCCACTCTGAGTGGCTCCCAACAGAATATTGAAAACACAATAAATACATCAAACATTTAAAAACTTCCCTGAACAGGGCTGCCTTCAGATGTCTTCTAAAAGTCAGGTAGTTGTTTATTTCCTTGACATCTGGTGGGAGGGCATTCCACAGGGCGGGTGCCACTACTGAGAAGGCCCTCTGCCTTGTCATATCTTGCTTTCTCCTCACAGAAGGCATCGCCTTGTGTTGGCATCTGACCTTGGCATGCGACTGGGCCTTGTCTTGTCCAATCTCTCTTGGGTTCCATTTTGGATCCCGGGCGCCATCTTAGCTCCTGAATGATGCCATCAAAACTCATGCTTCCTAACTGACCTTAATCACCCAGAAACATGACCTGGTCTGAACATGACCAAAGGGAACCATCAAAGCTATCTCGACTCCTGGAGCGGAATTAACGGCGCCGCCTTTTGACATTTTTTGCCGGTGACATTCTCAGACTTTGCCCGAACGCGACGGACCTGCTTCAACTTAATCAGATCAAGCCGTGAGCTGAAAAGAGCAACCCTTTGTTCTCTGCACCCCATTGTAAGCGACAATATCAAGATCCATTGTGCAAAAAGGAATTTCAGCTGTGCCTTCTTGGCTCTGGGGAAAATCAGAGTCCCTCTCTGGACTGAATACTCCCCTGGTCAGAACACCCTGTTTTGTCCAGATGATAAAGCCAGTCTTGAGCTAAGTTCGCTGCTTGGCACCCTGCCTCCCCTACCTGGGAGGAGGGTCCTGATCCCAACCCATGCTGGTTCCAGATTCTCCTGTTCCTGGGCCAGACAGCCTCCAACCTGCAGGGAGCTCTGCTCCCCGCTTCCATCCTCACCAGCTGCCCCTGCTTCACACCCTCTTCTTCCTCATTGCCATGGCTTGCTTGCTTGCCTGGCATTAGGAGCGTATACCCGAAGGAGCGTCTCCACCCCCATCGTTCTGCCCGGATGCTGAGGTTCAGCGCTGAGGGTCTTCTGGCAGTTCCCTCGCTGCAAGAAGCAAAACTACAGGGAACCAGGCAGAGGGCCTTCTCGGTGGTGGCACCCGCCCTGTGGAACGCCCTCCCATCAGTTGTCAAGGAAATAAACAACTACAGTGGTACCTCGGGTTACAGACACTTCAGGTTACAGACTCCGCTAACCCAGAAATAGTACCTTGGATTAAGAACTTTGCTTCAGGATGAGAACAGAAATTGCGTGGCGGTGGTGCGGTGGCAGCGTGAGGCCCCATTAGCTAAAGTGGTACCTCAGGTTAAGAACAGTTTCAGGTTAAGAACAGACCTCCGGAATGAATTAAGTTCTTAACCTAAGGTACCACTGTATCTGACTTTTAGAAGACATCTAAAGGCAGCCCTGTTTAGGGAAGCTTTTAATGTGTGACATTTTAATGTATTCTTAATCTTTGTTGGAATCCGCCCAGAGTGGCTGGGGAAACCCAGCCAGATGGGCAGGGTACAATTATTATTATTATTATTATTATTATTATTATTATTATTATTGATTGCTCCTGTCTTCTGGGTTGACAAAGTCTGGTTCACAAGCCAAGTGAAGCTGCCACACCTGTCCCGCCACTAGGAACTCACCTTGTTCATTATGACGGTGGCGTTCAGTAAACTGGAGCCGTACATGTTTGGAAGAGCAATCACTTGCTTCAGCCGTTCTACAGAAATGCAAACGATTTGTTTAGCTGAAAGTTTAACGTCGCCTTTCAGGGCAAAGCTGTCCCAAGACACCCAACACCAGGTAAATAGCAAGGGGCAGTGGTGGCCACCAAGCTCAATGGCTTTAAAGGGGAATTAGACAAATTCATGGAAGAGGCCTATCGATGGCTTGGAAGGTGGTCAACTCTCCTTCCTTGGAGGTTTTTAAGCAGAGGTTGGATGGCCACCTGCCCGGGATTATTTAGCTGTGAATCTAAAAATAGGATCCCATTAATCTAAAAGGTTCATGGGATCCTATTCTAAAGCCCATAGAAGTGGCCTTATTCCAAGTCAGGAGTTATTGGCCATCTCGGTCCAGTATACCTGAAGGAGTGTCTCCACCCCCATCGTTCTGCCCAGACACTGAGGTCCAGCTCCGAGGGCCTTCTGGCGGTTCCCTCATTGCGAGAAGTGAGGTTACAGGGAACAAGGCAGAGGGCCTTCTCGGTGGTGGCACCTGCCCTGTGGAACGCCCTCCCACCAGATGTCAAAGAGAACAACAACTACCAGACTTTTAGAAGACATCTGAAGGCAGCCCTGTTTAGGGAAGCTTTTAATGTTTAATAGACTATTGTATTTTAATATTCTGTTGGAAGCCGCGCAGAGTGGCTGGGGAAGCCCAGCCAGATGGGCGGGGTATAAATACATAAATATATTATTATTATTATTATTATTATTATTATTATTATTATTATTATTATTTAGCTCTGTACAGTTGACACTGGCTGGCAGCATCTCTCCACGACTTCAGGCAGGAGATTCCAGGGGACTGAAAATGAAATCTTTTGCATGCAAAGCTCTATCCCAAATAAGGTGGGAGGTGGCAGTGGAAGGGGGACACCCCCCCCCCAGCAAAAGCAGGAGAGGAAAACTGTTCTGCACTCACTGTTGAGACTTGACATCCCCAAGTTGCTGGCCGCCTTCAGCAGCGTCTCCAAAACAGTCACCTGCGTAGCACAAAGACAGTGGGTTTGAAAAGTGGAGGAGTCAAATGGGGGGGGGGACACTGTAGAAATGTAGGGAAGCAGGGAGCTTTTCAGCCCGAGAGCCACATTCCCTTCTTCTGGGGGCCACATGGCAGTGCTGGGCAGGGTCAGAGGCCAAGCAGGCCACTAAACTAATGCAAACTTTATTTATTCTTTTATTTCATAAAATGCACCTGGAACAACAACGTACATGTGAAAGGGATCTTTTTATATATAAGATGTAACTGAGGTGATGTTGGTAAGGTGAAAAAAGTAGCCAGCTGGAAGAATGGTTTGACGGCAAGTGAAGGTTGTCAACTGGACTCTACATGGGAAATGATTTGGCTATGCGAGGAAATGATGGTGGTCATATGTTTGGAACAGGAGCGGGTAACCTGATTTTTAGGAATTGTACAGTCATACCTCTGGCTGAAGTTGCTTCAGGTTGAGCATTTTCAGGTTGCGCTCTGTGGCGACCCGGAAGTAATGGAATGCGTTACTTCCGGGTTTCGCCGATCGCGCATGTGCAGATGCTCATAATGATGTCACACGCATGCGCAGAAGTGGGAAATCACAACCTGCACACGTGCAGATGCGCAGATGTGAGTTGCGTTCTGCTCTGGATGAGAAACGGGGCTCCGGAAGGGATCCCGTTCGTATCCAGAGGTACCACTGTATTAAATGAAATTAATTTGGTTTGATTTGTAATAATTTGGAAAAATAATTAAAAAAACATTGGGGGGAATCGTTTTCCCCAGACGTCTGCCCCTTCCTATCTATCTATCTATCTATCTATCTATCTATCTATCTATCTATCTATCATCTATCTATCTATCTATCTATCTATCTATCTATCTATCTCTATCTCTATCGCTTTTGAGAACCCGGACGTATAGTTTTAAGCAGTGCTTTTTTTTCCTTAAAAAAATGTTTAGGGGTACTCTCATTTCCCTACTCATATTGAAATACTGCCCCTCAATGAGGCCAAACTTAGATTCACAAAAAGTTGAGGGGTATGCGTACCCCTGTGTCCCCCCAGGAAAAAAGCACTGGTTTTAAGGAGGGAAGAGTGTGTGTGCACTAGGGCGGTTCATAAAAAAACTTTTTTTTTTTTAATGCCTGCTCCAAAGGTCTTCTCTTACTACACTTGGGATTATACGGCTATATCTGAAATTTCATGCGTATCAGTTAATATATTGACCCTGCTCCACTGAATTGAAATTTCAGCCTTCACACGACATAGGAAAACAGCCAACTAAACAGCTATTTTCGTGGAGGACAGTCAAGATATTAACTGATATGCACAAAATTTCAGATACAGTGGTAACTCTGGTTGCGAACGGGATCCATTCCGGAGGCCCATTTGCAACATGAAAAGAACGCAACCCACAGCGGCGCGTCTGCAGATGCACAGGTTGTGATTCGCTGCTTCTGCGCATGCGCATGACGTCATTTTGCGCTTCTGCGCATGCGCGAGTGGCAAAACCCGGAAGTAACCCTTTCTGGTACTTCCGGGTCACCGCGGGACGTATCCTGAAAGGACGTAACATGAAGCGGACGTAACATGAGGTATGACTGTATAGCTATATAATCCCTAGTGTAGTAAGATAAGACCTTTGGAGCACACATTTTTTTAAAAAAGTTTTTTACGAACCACCCTAATGTGCACAGCTAGGTGCATCTCACAACCCCAGTCTCCAGATTCCAAGCCCCACCCATTCCTTCATCCTCCTGAGCTCCTCCTCTATACTCACCCTGATCTCGCCAACCTTGGACCATTCCTTGGACAGGCGCAACCTGCAGGGTACACAGAAGGATGAGAAAGCACCAAGTCGGGGTTCATTTATGCCAGGGGTCCCCAAACTAAGGTCCGCGGGCCGGATAAGGCCCGGGGGATTCGTTTATGCGGCCCGCAGCAACCCCTGCCGCCCGCCGCCACCGCCCACTCTTACCAGCGCTGCGCTGCACGGCTGCCCACTTCCGGTTCGGAGGAGCACCGGAAATAGCTTGCGCACATGCGCAAACATTATTTGTGCATGTGCAAGCATTATTTCTGGTGCACATCTGGGTCGGAGGAGGCCCCTGCACATGCGCACAAACCTATTTCCGGTGCTCCTCTGACCCGGAAGTGAGCTGGAAATAGCATGTGCGCACGCATATGGGCACACACTCCCCCACCCTCCGGCCCGCCGCACGATCGGCGCTGGAGACACCGGCCCGAGGTACGGTAAGTTTGCTGACTCCTGTTTTATGCTCTTGGGAACACCTGCTTCTTCATTCCATTTCTTATATCCCACCTTTTCCCTCCGGTTAAGCTCAAGGGGGTATATGCATTGTTCTCATTTAATCCGCGTAACAACCCGGTGAGGTGGGTTAGGCTGACAGGCAGTGACTGGCCCCTCAGGTCACCCAATGAGCTTAATGGCCAAATCGGGATTTAAACTCCAGCCTCCTAGGTCCTTCCATCTCCACACAGCGATGCCAGGGACCGAACTCGGAGCTTTCTGCATGCAAAGCAGGTGGTGATGGGCAGGGGGCAATTAATAATAATAATAATAATAATAATTGCACAGAGGCCTGCATTAAAGGTGAGAGAATAGCAGGCAGGAATCCTGCCGCTAATCCTGGGAATTGGGGAAGGGGGGTGCGGAATAAGAGGAAGACCCTGGAGTCAGAGAAGAGGAGCAATACTCACTTTTTCAGGGCCACCAAAGCCCCGGCATAGCCAAGGGACTTCCCAGACTTCCCTGGCTTAAGAAGGGGTTGTCCCGTGAGGTTGGCATCCTGTAAGCCAAAGTGAGAGAATAGGCAGAAGAGGATGAGCAGAGTCTGGGTTGGGTGATGCACCTAAGGCCGTTCATGCTTCCTGTGAGCATCGGGGAATGGTATGTAGGAATGATCGCTGGGTTGTGGAGAATGTCGGGATCTCCGCTCGGCCAAGCTGATAAAGCTCATCTTCTGGAATCGCCCTCCCGGCGAATAATTAACGACCTGAGCCTTTGATGAGGCTCCAAGGCACGTTCCCCCATTCAGCAGAGAATCCAAAACAGCACGCGGAAGTGATGAGATTTATGGCTACATGCTATGCTTTATTTCTAAGCTACGCATACAGCAACGAAATATACATCCTCTCCCTGTGAGAGCAGAGAGCAACTGAACCAAAGGAACAAAGGAACAGAGAAACCAGTACGTCACATCCTTCTCCCTTCTCCCGTGAGACTTCCAATAGCCTGGACTGTCTCTGGAATGTAAACAGAGCCTTGTGACTCTAAGCAACAGAAACTAGCAGAGCACACTTCCGCCCGCGGACAGCCTCAGCTGTCTGCACGCGAGACCTTGGGTGCGGAGCACACTCTCCCTCACAGATAAGGCCACAGGTGTCTGAACATCTTGCCCTCTGTCTAACCTTTTGCGGTCTCAGTAGTCTGCCGTGTCCTGTCTGTGACCTTTGTCTCTGAGACCTTTGGCTCTTTCGTCATACATTGTGCAAGGGAGAAATGATGCAGTGGAAACAGGTGCTAAAGTAACTTTGTACCACCCCACGATCTTGGGATTGGAAGATGTGTAAAGGTCAGAGCCCAAAATGTATCTGCCTGGGTTTGCATATTGTGCCAATAAAAGGAGCCTCAGCAGAGCTAGCCGGCAGCTTGCTTGTGCACAGCTCACCTGCATTATCAACTCCTGCCTCATGTCCTTCACTTCAGGTAGGGCAGAAGGTTGGGAGCCAAACAGCAGGTGGCGCTAAACCAACGATGGAGGAAGCCAGAGCCAACGGCAGCGAGGGCCGACTCGTTCGGGCTTCGTCCCCATCTACCCTGAGCCGGGGAGGGAAGAAGCCGACAGGCAAGATCACTCTCTTGGTTAGCTTTAAGTAAGAAAGCATGAGCAGCCTCCCCTTACAGCTCCCAGAAGCACACTTATAAAATTGTAGGTCTGGAGGGACCCTAGGGTCATCTAGTCCAACCCCGTGCGACGCAGGCACTGTTTTGCTGCGCTAGTAGCAGCAGAACACCTGTTGAGGCACACCTCCCAACACACTCGTCCTTTAAGACGGTTCATATTGCAGCCTCTCACCACCACCTCATAGAAGGACAGGGATCTCCGTTCCTCCACCAACCCCACTTGTTAACGATGCTTACAATATTCAGCAGGAACACGGAGGCCAGGCTGGCATTCGGGAGGATGACGAAGGCCTCTGCAGATGCAAAGAGCGTGACCTCCACTCCAGTGGGCTGGAAGCGTATCTCAGGTTCCTTTTGGGCAGCCAGGTGGAACTCCATGGGCATATTTGGAAAGCGCTCGTTCAGCTGTGGAGGGGAGAAAAGAGAGGCGCTGCGATGGAATGGATGTTTCATTACGAATGGGTCAGTCGCACGGGGAGAGATCAATATTTCTGTGCCTGGGGGTGCTTCCACATGATAATTATTACGGGATGGGTGCGTCTTGCTAAATGCAAGGTGGTTCTTTTAATGAGATTCAGTGAGGATGCCTGCTTGAGATCAAGAGGCAGGGAGTTCCAGATGCCGCCACACTTAACGATCAAGTTCTTACAAATGTGGAACGGGTGTTTTGCGGCATCTACATTGGTGTCATCAAAAATATTCAGTACTTTGAGATCGTTCTTATGCAGCTGCGCTCCTTTGCATCCATCTTGCCAAATGCAAGATAAAAGGAGATTCAGAAGCAATGCAAAACACAAGTGAGCGGGAAGAAGAAGATTTTATTTCAAAACAGCAAGCAATACAGTGGTACCTCAGGTTAAGTAATTAATTCATTCCGGAGGTCCGTTCTTAACCTGAAAACTGTTCTTAACCTGAAGCACCACTTTAGCTAATGGGGCCTCCAGCTGCTGCTGCGCCACCACCGCACTATTTCTGTTCTCATCCTGAAGCAAAGTTCTTAACCCGAGGTACTATTTCTGGGTTAGTGGAGTCTGTAACCTGAAGCATCTGTAATCTGAAGCATCTGTAACCTGAAGCGTATGTAACCCGAGGTACCACTGTATATACATACCAAGCGTAGCTAGCTAGTGCAGATTATTAATTAGCTAGCCCCCTCTTCCAATACCACACGTTCCTCCAAAGAATGTCTAACATCAAAGGAGGTCAGAAGGTGCCCTGCATCATCACTTCCTTCCAACAAATTAAAGGCTGTTCTCAGCGTCAAAGAGCAGAACAAGAGATAGAGAGGGGAAGTAAACAGAGGCAGGAAGAAATGGCCATGTCAGATCACTAAACTCCTTGAAATACAAATATTTTCCGGAAAAGATTTCCCCTACAGCAGGGGTTATGCTGGAGAAATGCAACCTGTGCTGCTGTTGGGAATAATGCGACTCCTCTTAATAATAATAATAATAATAATAATAATAATAATAATAATAATAATAATAATAATGCGACTCCTCTTACGCCTCTACCTCCCAAAGGCTTGCAGGGCTGTTTGTTACAAGCTCCGCAGGCGAATGGTGCCTCTGGGGCTGGCCAGGGGCTGCTGGTTGCCAGGATCTGAGGTTTCATTGAGGTATGCAAGCAAGTGGGCGAGGGAGCCCAGTCTGCCAGCCCTTGCTGTTGGGAATAATGCGACTCATGCAACACATTGGCGATTCATATACACAGAACAATAATTACTATACATTCTTTATCAACCTTTGAGAAAAATACAAAACATAAACAAAGCCACAGAGACTTGCGAACTGCCCAACCTAAGATGAACTTATAATGTCTGGTTTCAATAGATTTTTCAAATGCTTAACTCAGTCTTTTAGATAAGTTCATGAAGATACCAACAGAAGGTAAGTTCGGTGTTATTCACAATACAGAGAGATGCTAGTGGAGTTGTAGATAGATGTTAATGAAGTTATAAGTTCATCTTGGGTTGGGTAGTTCGCAAGTCTCTGTGGCTTAGTTTATGTTTTGTATTTTTCTCAGAAGGTTGATAAGGTATGTATAATTATTGTTCTGTGCATATTAATCGCCAACCTACAGCAGGGGTTGGCAAGGTTTACCTCGCCTTGGCTGGTTCAGTCCTGCGGAGATCGCTCCATGGGTCTGTGCAGATGCGATTTCTGGCATCTGCATCTACGCAGACATGATTTCCACCGCAGCGGAAGCGAGTCTCCGCTCCACGCTGCGCCACTTTAGCGCAGCGCATGGGGACTCGCGAGTGGTGGCTTAGTTCGGGGGCAGCTCATGGGCCATTTAAATGATGCCCGCGCACCTAGGACATGCAAATTTTATGCAGCATCAACTTTGGCTGTGATTCCTGTGCTGCAGGTGGTTTGACTAGGAGACCTTTGTGATCAGCTCTGCAATTCTATGATTCTACAACACAACGAACAAGACCTTTTTGTGGTCCATCGCTCCAAAAGAGAGAATATTTCACGAGAGAAAGGATTTCACAAGAGGTTTTCAGTTTTGCATTTGGCTCTTGTGACTGGGTGGGGCAATCACATTGCCCTCTGTTGCTCCCCACCCGGGCAATTATCCCCCCACCTTCACAAGACTAAACTCACCTCTGGTACAAATATCCCCACATTCTTGGTGTTCAGACGCAAAGGCAAACTTTGGGGGACCTGAAACGACAACGCGTGTGAATGTTCGATTGGGACAGCCCCCGTTTCCAGGCTGACGCACTGGATTTGCTCTCCGTAATCTTTGGAGATCAGGGACCATCCACACTTCTTCTTGTTCTGGCCCTAGAAAGGTTTTCCGCTTGTCCTGTGTTGTCTAGGACCAGGTATGTGCGGTCTTGCCTTTGCCCCACAGTTCTCACTTAGATGAGCTGCTCTTTAGTGCTAAATTGGAACAAACAGCCATCCGTGGAAAACCCAGTTGCCATTTGTTCAGTGCTAAATATCACAATTCTCCAGGAGAAGTGGGGGGGGGCAATCGGAGGTGCAGTGGCAGAGCTACATTTGGGGGGGGGGGGCCTTTGCAACCAGCAACAAGATCTGGGCAACCACTGCTACCGTTTTCTGTGGGGTTGTTCCATAACAGATCACCTTTTTTAAAAAAAAATTAACTACACCACCTCTTATTTTGATTAAAATTGCTGCACCGGATTATCTCACATGCCATAGTCACTGGTGTGAATAAACATTTTCTATGCCTTATTAGTTTCGAATTACGGTTGTGGGAGTTAGAAGCTTCATTCGTTCCATAGTAGAGCCACACCTTCAGGGGTCTGAATCAGCCCTAAGAGCAGTTCAGGCAAGGATCGGCTTGCCGTACGTCGGGGAAATTCCTGACATGTCCTGGTTTTCAGGTGTAAGCATGGCGTCAGGGGGGAATTTATCTGAATCGGCAAAATGTCAGCGAAAACCGGGATGTATGGCAATGCGATGGAAAAAGCACCGGAAACAGCTCCAAAAGCTTAAAGTCACTATCTGGGGGGAATTTGGGCTTGTTCCCCCCAAAAAGCTGGTTTCCTAAAAAAAAAGCTCACAAATTTTTGCAGGAGTTTTGCAGGAATTTTACTTTTTGAAATATGGCAACCCTATGGCAAGTCAAGACCCATCAGACCCTAAGAAGTTGCCTCTTGCCCAGTCAGGACATCAGTCCATCTAGCTCAGAATTAATAATTATAATTAATTTACGGAGTGCTTCATATGAAGGATCTCAAAAAGCTTTCACAATGCAATTAAAACATATATTAAACAATGCGAGAAAGTTTACTTTTACCTTTTACTCTGTGTGTCTGTGTGTCTGTATGTCTGAATGTCTACGCTCATACCAGGTCTCCAAGCAGAGGCGTAGGAAGGGGGGGGAAAGGGGGGACGGTCCACCCTGAGTGTCATCCCTGAGGGGGGGGTGACAAAATCCCCCTGGGCAGATTGCCACGCTGCCCCCCTGGGCGTAATCACCACACCAATCACCCCGAGTGCTGATTGCTGCACCAACCAAACCAGCTGATTGCTGTGCCAATCGCCTCCCTGGCACACTTAATAATAATAATAATTTTTATTTATACCCCATCCTCCCCGGCCAGAGCCGGGCTCAGGGTGGCTAACACCAGTAAAATTACAATACAAACATTATAGGGGGGGAACCAATTTAAAATACAGGTTAAAAATACAATTTAAAATGCAGCCCCATTTTAATAGTAGCCCATAGGTCAAAACCAGAAGGGGAGGGAAACATAAGGGTCAGACTGAGTCCAAACCAAAGGCCAGGCGGAACAGCTCTGTCTTGTCTCTTGGGACAGAGCGTTCCACCAAGCTGGGGCCAGTACTGAAAAGGCCCTGGCCCAGGTTGAGACCAGTCTAACCACCTTGTGACCTGGGACCTCCAAAGTGTTGTCATTTGTGGACCTTAAGGTCCTCCGCGGGGCATACTAGGAGAGGCGGTCCCCTAGGTACGAGGGTCCTTACCGCTTGCTGCGGGCAGCGCCCCCCTGGGACGCTGGCCCCACCCCTGATAGCCCTGCCCCCGTGCGCCGCTCCAGGTGCCGGAGCAGCTAGCTCCACCTCTGTCTCCAAGGATTTGGACCGGGGTCTTTTCAACCTCGTAGCCTGTCAACTAGTGACACCAGGATTCGAACCTGGGACCGTGTACCTGCATGATGGCCTTGACGGGCCCTGTGCACATCCACACCTCCTTACCATGGCATCTGTGTAGTTCACCCTGAGCGCCCCTGCAGTGTAGTACACAAAGGCAGCTGAGTTGGCGACGAGTTCAGAGATACCCAGGAGGATCATGGAGTCTGTCTGGTTGGGTAAGAGGAAGGGGGCAGGGTGGAAGGGGCCGTCGTGGAGGGTCTTTCCCACCGTGTAGAACTGACCCTAGGAAAGAAGAGGAGGGAAGATGGTCAAATTTTGTAGGGTGCTCCACAGTGAGATTGCCACCTGCCTCAGAAAGAAGGAAAAATTTGAAGGCAGATCCCAGGCAAGAAACCTGTTGGAAGTGTGGGGTGAAAGAAGGCAGTTTCTTCCACATGTGGTGGACATGTGACATAAAGGTAAAGGTAAAGGGACCCCTGACAGTTAAGTCCAGTCGTGGCCAACTCTGGGGTTGCGGCGCCCATTTCGCTTTACTGGCCGAGGGAGCCGATGTATAGCTTCCGGGTCATGTGGTCAGCGTGACTAAGCCGCTTTTGACAAACCAGAGCAGCGCACGGAAATGCAAACTGACAAAAACTCCTTAGATGTATTTGCTGCCTGCGTTGAAATGTAAGTAAAGCTTTTCGCTTTTACTGAAATGTGTGGTTTATTCTTAGCAACGGGGATAAAGAAGGGAAAGGGCCGCAGATCACAAACAGTGATAAAAGGTGTAACTGCCTAATTCCTAGCTTCCAGTAGGCTGCGAAAGTGCGAAAGTGTTTTTACTCTGCTAAAAGGGCTTCACAGCCTGTTTACTCTCGTATTTCTCACACACAGGAGGTTAAAATTTAAATTTACCCATTGAATAGTCAATCCATCTCCATCAAACCACCTCTCCAGTCTCTCTTGTTTTGGACAACCGCTCTGGACAATTGGACAATTTGGACAATTGCTTCCCATTCCACCTTCGGAAGGCCGCACAGAAAGAGAAACAGCTATTCAATCTCACAGTGCCACAAAGCTCTGTGGGACCAGGCTTCACCAGAAGGCTGGGATGGAGAGGTTTGAAAAAAAGGCTTCGCAGATCCACAGACAATCTGAAATGATCTGCTGGATCCCTGCTCCCTCCACCCCCGCAAGGTTATCATTACCTTCAGGTCCACATTGCATCGATCCACATCAATCACGGGCTTCTCCACCAAGGAATAGTCTATCCCTGCAATGGGGTCCAATTGGGCCGAGACTGGAAAAGGACACGGAGAAAGCCAATGTTTAGCAAGGTGCAGACCAGTGTGCCAAAAATTATTCCCAGAGGGGTGATTTTGAGCTGGTTGCTCCAGGCATACAAGGAGCTTACCATTCATGGTTTTCAGGATTTCTGCAATCTTGCCGATTCCTTTCTTGACCTCTGAACAGAGCTGGAAGGGGAGAAAGCCCATGACAATCAGAGGGATGGACAGTGAATGTCACCTGGAGTTCTCTTCCCATCACAAATGGAGAGGGGAAACTGGAACCAGCTGAAAGGGGGGACACTTAGGAAGGTAGGAAGTGAGTCTGACTATTGGTGTATCCAGCTGAATACGGTCTACACTAACTGGCAGCATCTCTCAATAATTTCAAACAGTTCGGGATCTCCCCCATCCCTACCCGGGGATGCACCAGGGATTGAACCTGTAGCCTTCTGCACTACCGCACTTCTGCTCTACCGCAGATGGTCTGGCCAAAGAAGTGCATACTCTAGTTTTAGAAGACATCTGAAGGCAGCCCTGTTTAGGGAAGCTTTTAATGTTTAATAGACTATTGTATTTTAATATTCTGTTGGAAGCAGCCCAGAGTGGCTGGGGAAACATAGCCAGATGGGCAGAGTATAAATAATAAATTATTATTATTATTGTCCTTCTCCTCCTCCTCATCATCTCCTGCTTGGAATACTGCAATGCTCTCTATGTGGGGCTACCTATGAAGGTGACCCAGAAACTGCAACTAATCCAGAATGTGGCAGCCAGACTGGTGACTGGGAGTGGCCTCTGAGACCACATAACACCAGTCCTGAAAGACCTACATTGGCTCCCAGTACGTTTCCGAGCACAATTCAAAGCGTTGGTGCTGATCTTTAAAGCCCTAAATGGCCTCAGCCCAGTATACTTGAAGGAGCGTCTCCACCCCCATCGTTCAGCCCAGACACTGAGGTCCAGCTCCGAGGGCCTTCTGGCGGTTCCCTCACTGCAAGAAATGAGGTTACAGGGAACCAGGCAGAGGGCCTTCTCAGTAGTGGTGCCTGCCCTGAGGAACACCTTCCCTTCAGATGTCAAGGAAATAAACAACCATATGACTTTTAGAAGACATCTGAAGGCAGCCCTGTTTAGGGAAGTTTTAATGTTTTATGCTGTATTGTGTTTTAATATTTTATTGGGAGCCTCCCAGATCGGTGGGTATAAATAATAAATATTTTATTATTATTATTATTATTATTATTATTATTATTATTATTATTATTATCCTCTGGGACTAGATGATTGCTCCACCACAAACATATGCATTTAATGCTGGAGGCAAAGGATCCTGTGGCCCTCCCAGATGTTGAGGGATTCCAACGCCGATCGGCCCCGGCAGCCAGCATGGCCAATGCTCAGGGATGATGGGCGTTGTAGTCCAACAGCCTCCACCGGGCTACAGTTTCCCTGTCCCTGATTTAATGTACCAGGGCTTCACACGCAGAGCCGGGCAGGGCCAGGCAGGGCAATGGAGACGGGCAGCAGTAATAAGGTCCAGCTTTAGTCCTTCACCTTAGAAGTTCAAAAATCTTACTTGTTGATTGACTTCTGACTTCAGCATGTCTCTGAGAGCAGATGCTGCAATGTTGTACAGCCAGCTGTGGGAGAAAGAAGGAGCAAATGTCAGTATGATGGCTAATCTAACACTGCTGTTCTTCCAGCCTAGAGGAGGGGTTTTGCAGTGGCCTCAAGCAAGAGAGATGCCCCTTCTCTGTGGGACACCGCCCAAACTTTGGGTTGGGAAGAGAGATTAGATTTGGGTTTATGAGCCTCATGCTCTACTACTGGCTGAGCTATTCCAACAACGGCAATGTGTTACTTTAAACCACATGAGGCCACTGTTTGTTTAGCAATATAGCCAGCACTTGTTTGTAGCCTCTCTTTTTAAGCTAACTCCACCCCTAAAAGCTGATCCATTTTCTCTCTTTTCATCTCTACTGATCCTGTAAATAGTTCCTGCCAAGATAAATCTGCTCCTGCATGAATAAAGCCTTTGAACTCCAGAAACTGTAAGTGATCATTTCAATCTAACTCACCCAAGTTACAAGCTCTTCTTAAAAAAATGGTCCATTAGCTCAGTCATGGCTCTCTAGGGTTTCAAGCAGGTGTCTATCCCACCAATACCTGAAGATGCTGGAGACTGAACCAGGACCTTCTACACGCAAAGGAGGTGCTCTCTCACTGAGCTATAGTCCTTTGCCTTTCAGTGTCTAGGAAAATAAGGAATTAGAGGTACCTGGTTCCCCCGTAGAATTTCAACCCGAAGTCCCCCATGGCAGAACGGCAGCTTTCATACCACACCCGAAGCCGTCCTTCATCGCCCCTGTCCACTCCCATGATAGTAGAGATGGTGAGCCGGTCGATGCTGATGTCAACAGTGCCGCTGTCATCTCTGTAGGGGAAAGATGCAGTCATTGCATCGGAATGAGGCAAGGAGAGCAGTGATGGTGTACAGCCTCTTGAAGATGGGATGGAGAAACTGAAAGGGTGTCTGGGCTGGCTCTGTTCCCCAGGTAGATGGAGCACAATGCCCAGCCAGAAAGCCTGCAAGAGGGATGTGATGTGCGTCCTGATGTGAAGGAAAAGATGGCCGCCCCTTCCATTTCCAGATAGAGACGTTGACTGAACCAGCAACTGAATCTTTTTCAGCCAGGACAGCTGCAAACACACAAAAGTACACAGCTTCCCCCTAAAGAATCCTGGGAAATGTATTTTGCGCCTCATAGAGCTATAGTTCCCAGAACTAAGAAATAATACTAAGGATGAGAGTTACAAATTTAAGAATATTAAAAAATGATGAACACTGGTGGAGGGAAGTCACGTAAGTGTAGCATTTATGTTTGCATTTTTGTATTGTCGTTATTTGAGTTGGTGTAATTGCATGGTGTTGGAGGAGACTCTTCAGAGTCCCATGGACTGCAAGAAGATCAAACCTCTCCATTCTGAAGGAAATCAGCCCTGAGTGCTCACTGGAAGGACAGATCCTGAAGCTGAGGCTCCAAGACTTTGGCCACCTCATGAGAAGAGAAGACTCCCTGGAAAAGACCCTCATGTTGGGAAAGAGGGAGGGCACAAGGAGAAGGGGACGACAGAGGACGAGATGGTTGGATGGTGTTCTCGAAGCTACCAGCATGAGTTTGACCAAACTGCAGGAGGCAGTGGAAGACAGAGTGCCTGGCGTGCTCTGGTCCAGGGGGTCACAAAGAGTCGGACACAACTAAACAACAACAACAAAAAATGTGTGGTTGTATGTGCATTCTGGGACGCGGGTGGCGCTGTGGGTAAAAGCCTCAGCGCCTAGGGCTTGCCGATCGAAAGGTCGGCGGTTCGAATCCCCACGGCGGGGTGCGCTCCCGTTGCTCGGTCCCAGCGCCTGCCAACCTAGCAGTTCGAAAGCACCCCCGGGTGCAAGTAGATAAATAGGGACCGCTTACTGGCAGGAAGGTAAATGGTGTTTCCGTGTGCTGCGCTGGCTCGCCAGATGCAGCTTTGTCACGCTGGCCACGTGACCCGGAAGTGTCTCCGGACAGCGCTGGCCCCCGGCCTCTTGAGTGAGATGGGCGCACAACCCCAGAGTCTGTCAAGACTGGCCCGTACGGGCAGAGGTACCTTTACCTTTTTATGTGCATTCTAAATAATAAAATATTTTAATTTAAAAAACAACAACAATACAGTTCCCAGAACCCATAAACTACAGTTCCCAGAATTGTTTGCAGGGAGGAGCTATGTATTTTGAATGTACAGTGTGGATGAAGCCCCAACAGCGGCAGCAGGCGGCCAACGCTCTCCCTCCTCCCAGCTCCACTGCTTGGAAGTCGGAAGCAGCTCCCTGACAGCAGGCAGTTCTTACCCTAAAAAGGATGCCAACGTCCAGTTACCACTCATCAAGACGTTGGCATCTTGGACGGAAAGGTCGACACCCGTCCCAGCAGCAAACTCAGCGCCTGCCTGGTTCACCTGGAATTCGGTGACCTGGATCCTAAAAAGTAGAACAGAGAGACATGAAGAAGGGTCACCTTCCTGTTGAACATTTCCTTTTTTAAAAAATTTCAAATCCTTTATTATTTTATTCATGTAATATACATACTTTACAACAAACAACTCCAAAATAAACAGACAACTCCAAAATAAAACCATATGTAACAAAACCATAAGTCTCATGTTTTCATTTACACTGATCTCCTCGCCAATACCTTTACTTGATATTCCTTGCTGCTTTCTGTTTTCCTTATAGAATCTTTATAAAAATTTAAATCTCTGAAATCCTATACCAATCTTTAACAATTTCAATTACTCCCTTCACCTCCCTCCCCCACAGGTGCTCTGAGATTTAACCCAGGAGCTTCTGCATGTGACGCACATCCTTTACCCCAGAGGGACAGCCTTTCCCCATGGGAGTAAGGCACTGGGGTCAGGGGGTGTGTCTAGATGTCCTCTGGGTTCTCCTCCAGCCAACCCAACTCAGGATTTCTTGCTGTGTCTTCCTGTGAGCTGCCAGTGGCCAACCAAATCCAGCTCTGATAGGGAAAACGAGGAGGAGGAGTTGGGGGCAGTGGCGTAGCGTGGGGGTGCAGGGGGGGCTGGCCGCACCGGGCGCAACATCTGGGGTTAGGGCAAATCCACAGGTTAGGGGGTGCAAATCCACGGGTTAGGGGGCACAAATCCACGGGTTAGGGGGCGCAAATTACTTGCCTTGCCCCGGGTGCTGACAACCCACGCTACGCCACTGCCCCCAACTCCTCCTCCTCGTTTTCCCTATCAGAGCCACTGGTTGGGGGTGAAGGTTGTATTTGGGGGCACTCTGGTGGTCCGGAGCCAAGAAGAGGGGAGGGAGGTGGGGAGCCACACACTCTCACTTACCCAGAAACAGAATACCGCACTTTCCCAGCAAGCGGAACAGTGTAAGAACCATTTATGTCGTGGAACGTTTCCTTCTTCAGCGCTGACTTCAACATCTCGATTCCAAGTTCCTTTACTGTAAAGAGGGGGAAAGGAGCAGAATCAGAGAGGTCTGCCTTCCTTGTCTCTCCCAATTAGCCTCCCTCTCCAGTGCTCAGTGTTGGGAAGAAGCCTCAGGACCCACCCTTCATGACATCACTAGGGGTCGCCCTTGGATCTCAGGTTTGGGCCCTGAGATCTGAGGTTCTGAGGTTCTCCTTGACCAACAGCCCTTGCCCCACAGGAAAATCCAATGGTTCCCAAACTTTTTGAGCCACCCCCCCAACCCCAGTGCCTTTTTTTCTGGGGGGACACATACCCATAGCTGTCAACGTTTCCCTTTTTTAAAGGGAAATTCCCTTATTCCGGATAGGATTCTTCGCAAGAAAAGGGAAAAGTTGGCAGCTATGCGCACACCCCTAAACATTTTGTGAATCGTTGTACTTTTGTCTGTTTCCTGTATTTATTTCCCCCGACTTGAACTATAAAATGGTGGTTTTCTTGAGTCAAAATGAGAGTACCCCTAAACATTTTATTTTTTTTAAAAGCACTGTCGTACCCAAGAAAAAACATTTTTGTTTCAGAATAGCAGTTTGCATAGCCCACTAAGGAAGATAATAGCGCAATAAACTTCAAAGCAGTAACAATTAATTGCACATTTATTCAATTAAAACTATTTAAGTTTAATTAATTCGACAGAATTGATGAACTTGATCCAGTGATAGCAGCTTTTAAAAGTCTGTCGTTTGCACCTCTGGCGCTCCACGCCTTGCCTCTGAGGGTCTCCCTAGGTAATCCTGCCCCCCAGGCAGGTAGGACCACCACCCCCTTTGGGAACCACTGCCTTAATGCAAACATCACATTTTAAAAATTACTTTCTGTACCAACAAGTTCTCAATTTGAGCATTTCTGGGAGACTCTCTCTCTCTCTCTTTTTAATCTCCCCCTTCCGTTTTGTTCAAGGCCAAGTACGGAGATTGCCGTGAAGTCACGCACCATAATTCAGCCCCTTCTGGGTCACTTGGACCTTCAAGCCTCCATCCGCTCCCATGGCTGTCTGCACGCAAGAGGCCAAAAGAGCCATAGAAATTGGCCAGAGCATCCTCTGTAGGCCCAAGGTGCGTGCGAAGGTCATCTGCGTTACCTGGAGGAGAAAGGGGGGGAAAGGTACTTAAAACGATGCTGTATGAGAAATGCACCTGGTAGACGGAAAAATGTTTCTGAGGGTTAGTGATCTAACACGGAGCCCTTCCTGCCTCTGTTCCTTCCCCCTCCCTCGCTCTTGTTAAGTTCTTTGATGATGTGAGAACAGTCTTTAATGTCCTAACCAGCTGGGAGGAGGTGAAGGCTCCCCCCATGCCTTAATCACCTGTGGAGGATACAGTAGTTCTGGAAAGCTTCTTTGATGTTGGAAATTATTGTGGGAAAGTGAGTGGCTATCTATAAAATCGGGTGGTTTGGGCAGAGTTTTTCAGAAGCTCCTGCACGGACTGATAGGCCGCAGGGCTGTGCAAACTGAAGCTACCAGGTGGAGTCACTTTGCCGCTTCTTGAGGGCAGATAGAAGTGCATGCTTGGTATGTATATATTGCTTGCTGTTTTGAAATATTATAATAATAATAATAATAATAATAATAATAATAATAATAATAATAATAATTTTTTATTTGTACCCCGTCCATCTGGCTGGGTTTCCCCAGCCACTCTGGGCGGCTTCCATAGAAACCAAAAAACACTAAAATATCATACATTAAAAACTTCCCTGAACAGGGCTGCCTCAAGATGTCTTCTGAATGTCAGGTAGTTGTTTATCGTTTTGACATCTGATGGGAGGGCGTTCCACAGGGCGGGCGCCACTACCAAGAAGGCCCTCTGCCTGGTTCCCTGTAGCTTTGCTTCTCGCAATGAGGGAACTGCTAGAAGGCCCTCGGCGCTGGACCTCAGCGTCCGGGCAGAATGATGGGGGTGGAGACGCTCCTTCAGGTATACTGGGCCAAGGCCGTTTAGGGCTTTAAAGGTCAACACCAGCACTTTGAATTGTGCTCGGAAACGTACTGGGAGCCAATGTAGGTCTTTCAAGACCGGTGTTATGTGGTCTCGGCGGCCGCCCCCAGTCACCAGTCTAGCTGCCGCATTCTGGATTAGCTGTAGTTTCCGAGTCACTCCGAGAATCTTCTTCTTCCCACTCACTTGTGTTTTGCATTGCTTCTGAATCTCCATTTTTAAAAGAACCACCTTGCATTTGGCAAGACGGTTGCAAAGGAGCACAGCTGCACAAGAACTATCTCAAAGTACTGAATATTTTTGATGACACCAATGTAGATGCTGCAAAACACCCGTTCCACATTTGTAAGAACTTGATATTTAGTGTGGCGGCACCTGGAACTCCCTGCCTCTTGATCTCAAGCAGGCATCCTCACTGTATTATTTTCAGCCTCTTTCTCCATGTCTGGGACGGCTTACCTAAACAAATATGTTTTTAGCAGGCAGCAAAAGTACAGTGAAGGCACCTGATTGAGGTCAACAGGCAGGGAGTTCCAAAGCGCAGCTGCCAGAATATCAAGTTCTTACAAACACAGAACTGGGCCAATTCCACATATTAAAGAAGTTCAGAGTTATGGTAAGGTGATCTCACAGGTAAATTGGTCCCAGACTTTATACTAATGGCAACTCTTTGAATGTGGCTCAATAGCAAATCAGCAACCAGCATAGGTCTCTAAGCACAGGTGCAATATGTGTTATATGAAACACGGGTATTATGGTGTTACAGATTTTGGGGGGACTCCCCCTAAACCCTAGAAATTAATAAATGGTAGGATTTTGCATCAACAGAAGTCTAGTGTCCAGAAGGTGATTCGGAAACTACAGCTAATCCAGAATGCGGCAGCTAGACTGGTGACTGGGGGCGGCCGCCGAGACCACATAACACCAGTCCTGAAAGACCTACACTGGCTCCCAGTATGTTTCCAAGCACAATTCAAAGTGCTGGTGTTGACCTTTAAAGCCCTAAATGGCCTCGGCCCAGTATACCTGAAGGAGCGTCTCCACCCCCATCGTTCTGCCCGGACACTGAGGTCCAGCGCCGAGGGCCTTCTGGCGGTTCCCTCATTGCAAGAAGCAAAGCTACAGGGAACCAGGCAGAGGGCCTTTTCGGTAGTGGCGCCCGCCCTGTGGAACGCCCTCCCATCAGATGTCAAAATGATAAACAACTACCTGACATTCAGGAGACATCTTAAGGCAGCCCTGTTTAGGGAAGTTTTTAATGTATGATATTTTAGTGTTTTTTGGTTTCTATGGAAGCCGCCCAGAGTGGCTGGGGAAACCCAGCCAGATGGGTGGGGTACAAATAATAAATTATTATTATTATTATTATTATTATTATTATTATTATTATTATTATTATTATTATATCAAAGGAAGTAATAGTACCACTCTATTCTGCCTTTAGTGATGTATGGAAGTGAGAGCTGGACCGTAAAGAAGGCTGATCGCCGAAGAATTGATGCTTTTGAATTCTGGTGCTGGAGGAGACTCTTGAGAGTCCCATGGACTGCAAGAAGATCAAACCTCTCCATTCTTAAGGAAATCAGCCCTGTGTGCTCACTGGAAGGACAGATCCTGAAGCTGAGGCTCCAAGACTTTGGCCACCTCATGAGAAGAGAAGACTCCCTGGAAAAGACCCTGATGTTGGGAAAGATGGAGGGCACAAGGAGAAGGGGACGACAGAGGACAAGATGGTTGGATAGTGTCTTCGAAGCTACCAGCATGAGTTTGACCAAACTGCGGGAGGCAGTGGAAGACAGAAGTGCCTGGCGTGCTCTGGTCCATGGGGTCACGAAGAGTTGGACACAACTAAACGACTAAACAACAACAATTCTGCCTTAGTCAGACCACACCTGGAGTCCTGTGTCCAATTCTCGGCACCACAATTTAAGAAGGATGTTGACAAGGTGGGAGGTGTGCAAAGGAGAGCAACCAAGATGGTCAAGGGTCTGGAAACTAAGCCTTACGAGAAATGGTTGAGGGAGCTGGGTATGTTTAGCCTGGAAAGTCCAGGTAAAGCAAAGAGTAAGGTTACCGTAGGGACACGGGTGGCGCTGTGGGTTAAACCACAGAGCCTAGGACTTGCCAATCAGAAGGTCGGAGGTTTGAATCCCCAAGGCGGGGTGAGCTCCCGTTGCTCGGTCCCTGCTCCTGCCAACCTAGCAGTTCAAAAGCACGTCAAAGTGCAAGTAGATAAATAGGTACCACTCTGGCGGGAAGGTAAACGGCGTTTCCGTGTGCTGCTCTGGTTTGTCCGAAGCGGCTTAGTCATGGTGGCCACATGACCCAGAAGCTGTACGCCGGCTCCCTCGGCCAGTAAAGCGAGATGAGCACCGCAACCCCAGAGTTGGCCACGACTGGACCTAATGGTCAGGGGTCCCTTTACCTTTACCTTTATGTCACATGTCCACCACATGTGGAAGAAACATGTGGAAGAAACTGCAGAGCCATGCCAGAGAAGGAACCCCAGGGCTGGCTGATGCAAACCAGCCTGGCTGGCCTGATGAAGAGCAAATCTGTTAACATGACAAAAGGGGTTGATGGGCCATCAGAGAGGAATCTTTTGGCCTGGGGAGACAGATGTTGCCAAGGTCATGGGGTGTGTGTGTTTGAAGCGACAGGAAAGAGTTTCTTTAGCAAGGTGTTCTGGGAAGAAGGAGGGGAGAGAAAAAGGAGAGATCCATCTTGGGCAGGCTGGCTGAAGGCAGGCTGGGAAACATGCTTTTGATTCAAGTGTTGCACTGCAGTGTGGGGCAAGCCCCTCTTGAAATGTCCATGCTGTAAGATATGACCTCCTTCCACGCAGACTGAAGATATAAATAAACCACATTTCTTAAAGCTACGACCGTCTCCGCCGTGTCTCAATTCTCCAAAGGAACACAGACCCCATGTGAGTGCCAGGAACCCCCTCGGATCTTGCTGCCATTTGGCAGAGAAAGGGGGAGGCACCCAACTTTTGTGACAAAAGAAACTGCTGCCTCTGTGTGAGGCAAACCTTCATGGCAAATAGCCATCGATAGCCCTCTCCTACAATCTTCCTAAAACCATCTTGGTGGGTGGCCATTTTTGCCCCTTTGGGGAGAAAGTTCCATAGTTTAAGTATGAGCTGTGCGAAGCTTTTTTTTTGCCTTTTATAAAAACCCAGCTGATATAGAAATTCATTTGGGCTGCAAGTCAGACAGCAGCTTTCCCACACACATCTGAATGTGTAATTTAGTGATAAACCAGTAGCACCAGAAGCTGCACCCACAGAGGTAAAGGTTTTGCAGAATCGGCACATTTACCTCCCCTGAAGTTGTTTAAAAACCCATGCATTTTATTTTTTCCAAAGAGGAGTGAGCAAATCACTCCTTTAGAAGGCACATGAAACACTTGGTGTGATATTTATTTTAAAGGCAAATTCCATTACTTCAGCCTCTCAAACCGCAAACCAGTTTCCCCTCTCAAGTAACAACAGCACCACAATATTTTTTTGTTGTTCTGTCTTTTCAGGGCATATACCCTCACAAGATGACATAAAGAGATAATTGTTTGATTTGTTTTCAGGGCTACAGTTCCTTCCTGGAAATGTGATATGGGAACCTCTGACCATATGCAAAGTGCATCCCCAAAGTCTCTGTGAATCTGTGTCAACATGCTTATTTATTTATATTAATCAGAAAATTTGTATACCCCTTGCTCAAAAAGAAAACAGAACAATCTTCCAAGCGACGTACAATTTCAATTATATAAATATATAATCTGGCTAAAATACGCAGACCAACAAAAAGCAAGGATACAGAAAACCTTCACTGAAAACAGAGATGGCACATGCCTGTTGTCCTCACAGAGGCGTATTTTGCAGAGTGGTTTAACAGCCAATCTCTCTTTCCAGGGAACTCTGGGAACGGTCTCTCTCTGAGGGGAACTGAGGCCGCCCAACAACTCCCAGCACCCTTAGCAAACTACAGATCCCAGAATTCTCTGGGGGAAGCCACGGCGCTTTGAAGTGGCATCGTGGGTGGTTTAAATGTTTGGTGTGAATGTGGCCTCAGCCAAGGAAAGGAGAAGGAGGAGAAGGGTTTGCACAGCAAAGAGGGGGTCGTGTCACCCCAAGATGACAGGGGCCTGGTCAGGCTCAAAA